AGCCAACAAATCCACCAAAACAGCCAACAAACTTTACCAACGAAACTAGAAGAAAGATACAGATGGAGTGGAACTTGCGTAGAGAAGAAAGAGGTTAGAAGCCCAGACGAAGGGTGGAGAAGCTCGCAAGCCTTCCAAGAGCTCTTAAGCTTTTCCAAGAAGAACCCGCAGGTTATAACAACTTTGCTCTCAATATTCACCAACCCATTTCATCTTAAAGCATCTCATATTTATAGGCAATAGAGGGGAAACTAAACAGCCCCAAAACACTTCAATTCCACACATAAATGGGGAATTGAAAAAGCCAGCTGGTTTATGTACAGAAATTCCAAATGGCACAGCAAACCACAAGGAGAAAGCCACGGTTCCAGCAGCCAAGCACAGGAAACCAGGAGGCAAATCTCGGGTCCAACTTGTAAGTTCATTTCACGGTAAAAAGGGGGGTCACAGCTGTAAAGTAGGCAGCAACCCTAAGAGGCAGCAGCAAACCGTGGGAGAGAAAACCAGCAGAAAAGCTGCAGCAGCCCAGGAGTCAAAAGGAAGGTGAAAAAACAAGTTCCACTCACCAAATATAGTTCCTATTTTTTTTAATTTCAAAGCTAAACATCAGCTCATAATGAGTTGCATTACTACTTGATATTAATGAGCTGTCACCACTAGAATTCCAACAACTAAAGCTCAAACCGAAAACAGCCAAGGCCCACTTGAAACCAGCAAACAGCCCAAAGGACAAGGTGGACCCCAAAGCCAACAAACCCAAGGTAGGCATAACCCAAACCTTTTCCTACCATGATCATTGTATTTACCACCATCATTGGATAGCATAAAAATAAAACAAAATATAGAAAATATAACTAATATTGTTCAAAACAAAAATAATGCAAAAATCTAAATGCATCAATTCCCCCATGGTGGGAGAATCTCATCTCCTGATGAGAAAGTTTCAGTAGTTCTTTCATAAATCTCCAAATTTTGTTTTTTCAGATCAGCAGCATCAATCCAGGTGCAATCAGTTAATGGTCAATTACTCCATTTGACCAAAAACTTCTTGAGTTCACCATGTCTTGTTTTAGTGATTTTCACATCAACGACATCTTCAATTTGATCTTCTTTGTTCAAAGAAGAAGTGGAAAGTGGCAACGTTTCAACATCCACAGAATCACCTATATTTCGTTAATAGAAAGGTCAAAAACATTAAATAGAGGAGAAGTTCCAACAGTAATAGGTAGATCCAAGAGGTATGCATTTGTGCCCAGTTTTCGGATAATTCGGAAAGGTCCGAATTTCTTTCTGCTCAGTTTACCAATAGTACCAACCGGAAATCGTTGGCGACAAAAGGAAGCCATTACCATGTCACCTTCTTTAAAAATAACTTCTCTCCGATGTTTATCTGCAACAGCTTTGTATTTGACATTAGCTATACGGAGTTTTTCAAGAACTTGCTGTTGGACCGATTTGATATGATCAAAAGATTCTAAAGCTTCAGCACTTACTTTGCTAGGTAAAGACAAACCATTCCTATCCAAAATATGTGGAATAGACTAACCATATAAAATTTCAAAGGGAGTTTTTCTAGTAGTTCTATTAACATAATTATTATATGCAAATTCAGCTTGAGGTAGAATTAAATCCCATTAAAAAGGTTTCTCACCAGCAAGACATCTCAAAAGATTTCCCAAACTGCGATTGACAACTTCAGTTTGCCCATCGGTTTGAGGATGATAAGCATTACTAAACTGAAGAGAAGTTCCTAACTTAGCCCACAGAGTTCTCCAAAAGTGACTTTAAATCTAGTATCCCTATCAGAAGTAAATGTACGAGGAACACCATGAAGACGAACAATCTCTTTAAAAAATAATCAACCACATGTGAAGCATCAATAGTTTTTTTGCAAGGAATGAAATGAGTCATTTTACTAAAACGATCAACAACAATAAAAACAGAATCATGCTTTATAGCAGTAACTGGAAGACTAAGAATAAAATCCATAGAAATATCCTCCCAAGGTTTATTTGGAATTGGGAGAGGAGTGTATAAATCAGTATTTTGTGATGTTCATTTAAAAGCTTGACAGATTTTGCATTGTTTAACCAATTTAGCAATTTGTTTTCTCATATGAGGCCAGAAATATTTTTCTTCCACCATAGCAATAGTTTTCCCCTGACCAAAATGTCCACTCAAACCCTCACTATGAAGTTCATGCACTAACTGTTCTCTTAAAGAATTTTTTGAAATGCAAAGTCTAGAACCTTTAAACAAAAAACCCTTGATGAATAATGTATTGACCAGATGGATCAGTTCCTGAAGTAAGACAAACTTCCCAAATATCTTTAAAGTCAGAATCACTTGCATAAGTTTCTTTCAAAAACTTAAAAGAAGTAACAGTCGGATAAACAGTTATTAACAAGTGAGACCTCCGACTTAAAGCGTCAGCAACTTATTCAAAACACCAGTTTTATGTTTGATATGAAAAGTGTATTCTTGCAAAAATGAAACCCACTTGACATGCCTTTTATTCAGATTTTTTAAGAGCCCAGAAAACGAAGTGTTTCATGATCAGTATTTAAAACAAATTCTCTTTGAATCAAGTAACATCTCCAAAATTTTAAAGCTTGCAAAATAACATAGAACTCTAAATCATAAGTAGAATACTTAGATCTAGAGTCATTCAGTTTCTCACTAAAGTAAGCAACATATTTTCCTTCTTGCTAAGCACGACACCAATACCAATATGAGAGGCAGGCATCGCAATCAACTTCAAAAATGATGTCAAAATTTGGCAAGCTAAGAATGGGAGCTTGACTCATTTTTGTTTTAATAATTTTAAATTTTTTTTCAGCTTGAGGTGTCCACCTAAAAATCTCCTTTTTCAAACAATCAGTAATAGGAGCAATCAGAGAACTGAAATTTTTTATAAATCTCCTATAGAAAGAAGCCAAACCATGAAATCCTCTTACTTCACTTATATTTTTAGGAATAAGCCAGTTTTGAATTGCTTCTATTTTAATCGGATCTACTTTTATCCATTCAGCAGAAATAATAAAGCCCAAAAACGTCAAACTTGCAATCATGAAAGAACATTTCTTAAGGTTGATGAAAAGCTTTTGTTGCGACGTGAGGGATGCGACATCGAGCAGCAGAGATCGTGCGATGGACGGCTTCGGCAGAGCAGGTATGGTGTGCACGATCTCTCCTCCTCTCTCTCTTTCTCTCTTTTTTTATATTCTCAGGTCAACAATGCTATAAATCAAAATGTCATCGAAATAAACCACAACAAACTTTCCAATGAGAGGTTTCAAAACATGATTCATAGTTTTCATAAAAGTACTTGGAGCATTTGAAAGACCAAAAGGCATTACAAGCCACTCATACAAACCCTCTTTAGTTTTAAAAGCAGTTTTCCATTCATCATCAGGCCTTATTCTTATTTGATGATACCCACTTCTCAAATTAATTTTAGAAAAGACTTTGGCACCACTCAGCATATCAAGCATGTCATCCAGTCTAGGAATTGAAAATCGATATTTAATGGTAATTTTGTTTATTGCCCTACTATCCACACACATCCTCCAAGTTCCATCTTTTTTTTGGAGTTAATAAAGTAGGCACAGCACAAGGACTCAAACTTTTTTGAATCAAACCCTTTTTTAACAATTCAGATACTTGTTTAAAAAGTTCAGCATGCTCGGTTGGACTCATTCTATAATGAGGAAGGTTGGGCAAAGTAGCTCCAGGTATTAAATCAATATGATGTTGAATTTATCGCATAGGAGGCAATCCAATTGGCAAATCATCAGGAGTTATATCAGAAAACTCATCCAATAAAGCTTGCATTTTTTTTGGAATATGAAAAACAATATCAGATTCTTTTCTCAAAACCAAATAAGCAACTTCAAAATGTTTCAAATCATTAGCATTTAAAAGCAGTTCAGGAGAAGTAATTTTGGCAACTGTGTTTTTCTTAACGGGTGAATCCGACACATTCTTTTGTGGATGAAGAGTAAACTCTTTATTATTTTGCATCAAAGTATGTGTTTTTCTCTCCATTATGAACAGTTTTGTTGTCGTACTGCCAAGGTCGTCCTAGCAAAATATGACAAACTTCAAGAGGCACAATATCACAAACAACTTGATCTTTAAATGATCCCCCAATTGATAAATTGACAGTACATTGTTTAGTGATTGGAACCTCACCCCCTTCTTTGAACCAAGAGATCTTATAGGATTTAGCCAGTGGTTTTGATTTGAGTTTAAGTTTGTCAACCAGTTTTTGAGAAACAAAATTTTCCGAACTTCCACCTCACCCCCTTCTATCATAAGGGTGCAGATTTTTCCTTTGATGGTGCAAGTTGTTTTGAATATGTTTCTTCTTAGCCATCTATCTTCTTTGTCAATTGTTGTTGTTAGAACTTGTCGAATTATCAAAAACTCTCCACCTTCATCTCCTTCAACATCAACTCTTTCTATTTCATTGTCATTTTCAGATTCAGTTTCATTCACTTCTTCTTCTTCTGAATTTTTCATCTTTTTCAATGAGATTATTTCTTGGTGGGTTATTTTTTCTACAAGTGGCTGAAAGATGACCATAAAGCCCGCATTTATAACATGGTCCAATTAACTTAGGTGAATCAGTCGGTTTAGTACCCATAATCCCTTTTCCTTTATCAATATTTTGATTTTAAAAGCTTTAATTTTCAGACCAGATGTTCCCCCAGAAGTTCGAGATTGAGATTTACTCGAACGACGTTTATATGTTTTCACGATTTTATTGTGACCCCTTTCCCGTTGATGTTGTTTTTCCAATTTTAATGTCATACGATAAGCCTCGTCAGTTTTAATGATATGATGCAAATTGAGTTGATCTTGAATTGACCACTTTAATCCATTGATGTATCTTGAAACAGTTTTTTCTTCATATTCTTCTAAATCGTTTCTAGATTGAAGTTTGTAAAACATTTCAGTGTATTCTTCAATGGATTGATTTCCTTGTTTCAGATTATTAAATTCTTGGAATATAGTTCGAGCATGATCAGTTGGCAAGAATTTTTCTTTCATTTTCTCCTTCATTCTTTCCCAATTTTGGACTTTTTCTTTTCCCCTTCTAAGTCTATTATTTTGAAAGTTTTTCCACCAGAAAGTTTTAAGCTAGCAAAACGAACTTTCCTATCATCAGGTATTTCTTTCCACTCAAAAAATTGATCTATCTTTTCTACCCATTCAAGAAATTGATCATGTTGTAGCTTACCCTCAAAGTTAGGAACATCAATTTTAATTCCATAGTCCCAATTTCTTTGTTGCCTACGACGATTTCTAGGAGTCTCTTCTTCACTTTTAGAAGTTTGATCATTAGGATTAGCATTAGTGTTGTTAACATTCAAGTTCTCAATTGCTTCAGCCATGGTATTAATCTGTTGTCGCAAATTATTCAATTGTTGCATAAGGTTTTGCCAATCAGCTGGATTATTAGCCATTTCAGAGAATAGAAAAGATTCGCCAAATAAAGCCAACAAAAAACCAAATCAACTAAGGATGAGAACTTGCTCTGATACCAAAATTGATGTATGCAACTTGAAGCAAAACGCAACGAGAGAACAACAAAGAGAATCGAGACCCACATTTAGAAATTTAAGACACCACTTGGAGAACAAAATAAGCTAAATAAACAACTAAATTTCAGAATAGAAAAGAAGCGATCATCCAACAAAGCCAATGCAAAAGAAAGTTAGCAAAAGAAACAAACTAAAAACAAACAAAAGCTTTCCTCAGAACATCCTACAAGAGGACTCCTCACATGCACCGATTTTAGGAACCAAGGGTCCACCACTGCAAAGGGGTCCAACGTCCTTCTAAACTCCTCCAGCAAATGTCACCAAAACAGCCAACAAATCCACCAAAACAGCCAACAAACTTTACCAACGGAACTAGAAGAAAGATACAGGTGGAGTGGAACTTGCATAGAGAAGAAAGAGGTTAGAAGCCCAGACGAAGGGTGGAGAAGCTCGCAAGCCTTCCAAGAGGTAGAAGAGGGAATGAACAAAGCTCTCAAGCTTTTCCAAGAAGAACCCGCAGGTTATAGCAACTTTGCTCTCAATATTCACCAACCCATTTCATCTCAAAGCATCTCATATTTATAGGCAATAGAGGGGAATCTAAACAGCCCAAAAACACTTCAATTCCACACATAAATGGGGAATTGAAAAGCCAACTGGTTTATGTACAGAAATTCCAAACGACTAAGCAAACCACAAGGAGAAAGCCACGGTTCCAGCAGCCAAGCACAGGAAACCAGGAGGCAAATCTCGGGTCCAGCAGGTAAGTTCATTTCACGGTAAAAAGGGGGGCCACAGCTGTAAAGTACGCAGCTACCCGAAGAGGCAGCAGCAAACCGTGGGAGAGAAAACCAGGAGAAACGCTGCAGCAGCCCAGGAGTCAAAAGGAAGGTGAAAAAACAAGTTCCACTCACCAAATCTATTCCTTTTTTCTTTAATTTCAAAGCTAAACATGAGCTCATAATGAGCTGCACTACTACTTGATATTAATGAGCTGTCACCACTAGAATTCCAACAACTAAAGCTCAAACCGAAAACAGCCAAGGCCCACTTGAAACCAGCAAACAGCCCAAAGGACAAGGTGGATCCCAAAGCCAGCAAACCCAAGGTAGGCATAATCCAAACCTTTTCCTACCTTGATCATTGGATTTACCACCATCATTGGATAGCATAAAAATAAAATAAAAAAAATAGAAAATATAACTAATATTGTTCAAAACAAAAATAATGCAAAAATCTAAATGCATCAGGGGGTAATGTTAGACCAGCCTAAGGTCTGGTTGAACCGGTTCTAGTGTACAGGCGTAGGATCAAAGGGGGAGGGGGATGCATGGATGGGCCCACGCCATAATGAAGGCTTGGTTTAGGAGGGAAAATTCGAATTAGGGTCTGTTTTGGGATTAATGAATTTTCCTTTTGCTTTAAGTAATCTTCTTCTTGCTAGGGTTAGGTTTTATCTTGAATTAAATCTGAAATTTGAGATCTTTGGCTTGAATTTGGGCGCTAGACTTCGGCTAGAGATTGGAGAGCTGAATCTTCCTCTCGAATTGAAGATTTATTGTATCGGGTTGTTTCTTTTTATCTCTTATTGAATTTCAAGTGCTTGCCTTGCTATTTCTCTACAAATTTTATAAAATCTGCTTGGTGTTTGCTGAATTTCTCTGAAATTCAGCACATTTTCTCTGATTTGTTGGTTGTTTCTTATCAGTAAATTCAACCCTTTTTAAGTATTTTGATCATTTCAAATCCTTAAAACACTTTTGTGATTGGCTTTTTTACCTTATAGATGCCTTTGTGATCACTCCTAATAAGATGTCATTAGCATAAACAATAACTATGATGAGCTTGCTTGTGCATGCGTAGTGAAAATTGAATGATTTGTGATGCTATTGTAAGGGAATCTTGAATGATATGTGCAAAACTATTTAACCCAAGCTTGTGGCCTCTATTTAGGCTCATTATATACTGTCTGAATAAACATATGCTTTTCTCCCCTGAGCAACATATTCATGAGGCTGTTCTATTTGAATTTCCTCATTAGAGGAATACATTACTTAGATCCTTTTACAGTATAGACCACTCTTAATTGATGGTCATAGATTGGACAATTCAGAAAAAGTTAGCTTACCAACTCGGGAGAAAAATTTAAAATAGTTTGTCCCATATACCTGTGTGAACCTTTTTGCTGTCAATGGATATTTATATAAATCGATCAAGCCATCAAGATAAAATTTAATAGTGAACAACCATCCATATGTAATATGTTTAACTAAAGAAGGGGGAACAACCAAATCCTATATTTGACATCTTATTATAACACTTATCTTGATATCCGTAACCTACTTCCAAAGAGTATTCTTCAGTATGTTTTGAGGGCTTGGAAAGAGAGATAGATAATATAATACTACAAATGTATGGTAGGAAGAACTTCGGTGATTAAATGACATAAGAGTGAATTGGATGAGCAGTACATTACCTTTTATGTTTTCATAGGGCAATTAAATATTTAGGTTAAAAAACTCATCAATAGGTGGATCCAAAGTTAAATCTAACATTGTGGATCGTAGTATCACTATGGAAGGTGGTCAAGGTTATCAAGAGTAAATTTTTGAAGGGATAAATGTAGCTACATAAGCTTATAGAGGAGGAAGAATATGTGGTGAAGGCATCTCAGAGGAAGAGGATAGGGAAAAGAAAGGTGTGCTCTCATGACAGTAACATCGGTTGAAGTATATAAGCATCAGGTAAGAGGATCATGCCATATATATCCTTATGATTGTGACAATGCTTAGGAAATATGCTTCAAATGACAGTTTTTGTCATATGAGAAAAAATCGTGAACAAAGAAGGTGCAGCCAAATATGTTTAAGCAAGTGAAGTTTGAATGGGAAAAAGGTGGAAACGGGTGAAAGATTATTGAGGAACGGAGATGGGAAATGGTTGATGAGATCGTAGGTTGTTAATATCACAATCCCTTAGAATTGATAAGGGATATTCATGTAAAATATTAATATCCTTGCAACATTAAGTAGATGATGGCTTTAATGTTCAATAATATTATTCTGTTGAGATGTGTAAAGAAAAAAATGAGCGTGAAATTGTAATTGCATAAATTTAAAGCATTATTAGTGCTTAAATTTTTGATTAAGATGGAAACAATGAACTTTTATGTCTTGATAATAGGTTTGAAATACATTTAAGGATCTTTGATCAACATTTGAGCAAGTAGATGTAATTGACCATGAAATAATCATACTGAATGTAACAAAAAAGTATAATCCTAGGTAGCTAAAGATATAACTATTATGGGCTCCAAAAATTTGGGCCTCAACAGCTCTTAGAGAGCGTGTTTTCTAGGTCATAGTTTTAGAGGACAGATTTAGTTATAGATAAGACATTAATTAGGGATTTTGGCCTCATTTTGTGAAGACTTTAAGATCTGGTTTCAGGTTTTCTATAAGTGCAATTCCTTATGGTTAATTATCCCTTCTAGTGACGAAAGAGAATCTTCGATTAAGGCTAGTTGTTACAAACTAAATAGTTTTGTGTATAATGGCAATTTGATTGAGGATTGAGAAAAATATATTGGTTTTAGCTTAAGTAGGTGTTGGGGGAATGATAACAAATTCGATCAAGATCCCGTGATTTTATTTTGGGTTTTAATAATCATTGGTCTACTTAGCCAGCGGAGATAGTTGACCCAACCGGACAAAATGACCCTTATCAACAGTCATTGGTTGCTTTATCTAAGGGTATCTTATAGACATGGGGTAGATGTTTATTTAAGGGGACGAATTTTAGTTGATCTTATTTAATAGAAACCTTTGTGCACTATCAAGTATACCCTATGATTCACAGCTCAAGGGTTTTCAAGTTGTTGGGGAACTTGCGGGATTTGATTGTGATCATAATTTAATAGTGTCATTTTGTTGTGAAACCATCTGATTAGAGGGCCCTGATTATAAATGATTACCTATTTTGCTATTTGGTGGCAAAATCTTTGGTCAGAAGATATATATCACATTCTTATTGACGAGAGATCGTAACGATATGCCTAAAAAGGCATTGACTCTTTATGATTAGGTTAATTTTGAATGTCACCCTTGATAAATAGTTGCGGAGAGTGGATTGTTACTTATTTTAAGAATAGATTTTACTTGTGTTTTTAAATTTTGTTATTTTTTTTTTGAAATTTTATATTTTTATATGGATGTAGCTTCAAAGTGATTTGCATTGAGATTTGGGGTAATTTTGTAGATAAAGCCCCATTCGGTTGATTTTTGCTTTTTACATGGCCATCAGCTGGGTTCAAGTCTTGTCGACTCTAGTATTGTGGACATTGATGATCAGACTTGAAATATAGGACTCATGACTCTGCTCTATGGGTAAGGCAGTCTGTTCGAGAACATCTTGTAAAATGAGAGCTTAAATTTATGCTTGAAAGGTAATTTGTGAATTTTTAAAAAATTGTGGCTTGTTTTCTTTTGCAAAAAGAGTTGCACAATACTCGGAGCAGGGTAAATTCAAATTTCATCTTATTTTTAGTTTGTGAATCATTCTCAGACTTTGTGTTCGAGTATTTATTATATTTGTCAGAGTACATGTGTATCCTTCTTTTATGTAGATGCTTGACGCTCTGTCACATTTCTCAGTGCATTTGTATGACATTGAATCATTTTTTGATGCACTTGCACATTCATATGATTTTCGATGCACTTGCAATGTGCATTTGCAAAAGAAAAGAAGTGAAGTGTATTAAGGATGAAGAGCAAAAAATGTTTTTATCAGAAGAGGATATTCAACAAAGGTGGATGAGATATTTTTATAAACTTTCAATAAAGATTATGTGAACGCGTTTGACTTTAGTGACCTTAGCATCCTAAATGAAAATAAAGATTTTTATTTTTATCAACGTGTTAGTAAATCAAAGTTAGAGAGGCTTTAAAGAAAATAAAGTGTGGAAAAACTATTGGATCCAATAGAGGTGTGGTGGAAATGCTTAGGAGATGAAGGAATTTCTTGGCTTACTAAGCTTTTTAATGTTATTTTCAAGACTAAAATGATGCTGGATGAGTGGAGAATGAGTGTGTTGATTTCTATTTTTAAGAATAAAAGTGATGCACAAGATTGTGCGAATTATAGAGGAATTAAATCAATGTGTAATACTTTAAAACTATGGGAGAGAGTTATGGAGCGTAGGTTGCGACGTGATACTAATGTTTTTCAAAATCATTTTGGATTCATGCCGGGTTGGTCAACTATGGAAGCTATACATGTATTGAGAGGTTTGATGGATAAGTATAGAGAGAATAAGGAGGATCTACATATTATATTTATTGATTTAGAGAAAGCATATGATAAAGTTTCAAGAGAAATGCTTTGGAGAGTTCTAGAAAAGAATGGGGTTAATAGTGCTTATATTCAAGTCTTTAAGGATTTGTATGCAGGAGCTTTTGTTTTCAAACTCAAGGTGATTTGACCAAGTATTTTCCTATTTCTGTTGGATTACATCATGGATCAGCCTTAGTCCCATATCTTTTTGATTTAGTCATGGTTGTTTTCACTAGACATTTGCAAGAGGTTGTACCCTGGTGTATGCTTTTTGCTGATGATATTTTTCTTGTTGATAAGACTAGAGAGGGAGTTGAAGGTACACTTGAATTATAGAGATCAACCTTAGAATCTAAAGTATTTCATTTGAGTAGTCTAAAACTGAATATATAGAGTGTAATTTTAGTAATAATAGTTCTTGTGGGGGGATTGTGACTTTTGGTAATCAAGTCATTAATAAGAGTACACATTTTATATATCTTGGGTCTATTGTTCAAAATGATGGTGAAATAGACGGGGATATTATTAACAAAATGCAAGTTGGATGGTTGAAGTGGAGGAAAGCATCAGGCTTGTTGTGTGATAGAAAAGTCTCCCTCTGTAGGCTCCAAAAATTCGGCCCCGGCCTCCCCGCTGCTTTTTGGGGGAGTTTTAATGGATTTAGTTCCGAGGTAAAATTTGGGAAGGCAGATGAGGTTTGTAAATATGACACTACCCAGAGATTTCACCCTCATTTTGGGAGGACTTTATGATATGAGTTTTGGTTTCCTATAGGCGCAAGCCCTTATAGTTAATTACCCCTCCGGATAACGAGAGAGAACTTTCGATTAAGGCTAGTCGCCAAATGAATACGGAGAGATACGTGTTATCTGGCATATAGTAGCAGCATGGGTCTAAATATTGGAAGTTGGATATTCAAAATTAAAAAAATTTCACCATCTTGTACTTAAAGCGTATGGTGGGGGAATGGATGATGGACTAGATCAAGATCCGATGGTTTCATCGTCCTGGGTCATCATGGTCCCTAGTTTACTTAGAGGAGTTAATCGGCCCAACATGACAGAAGGATCCTTGCGGCAACCATGGGTTGCGTCATCCAAGGGAACCTTGTAGACCTTGGTGAATATTTGTCTAAGGGGATAAATTTGAATCTACCTTAGCTAACAGAGGGGTGCCTTATCGATAATATCCTATTGATTCATATCTCAAGGATTTGATGTCATTGGGGAGCATACGGGCTCTAGCCATGACCATAATGTAGTGGTGCCATTTGGCGGCAAACCACCCTGTTCAGAGGGCCCCGATCATAACCGGTTATTCTGTGGTGCCATTTTGTGGCAAAACTGCCGGTTAGATGACACATGCCACGTCCTTGCTAGCAGGAGACTGTTTGAGAATGAATCCTAATAATCTTCTAGCTCAGACATTATCTCTTTATGAGGTGAAGTAATTTTTCAATTTTTTCACCTCGGTAAATTGTTGCGGAGGATGGATGGATTTTGCACTACGTGTTTGATGGTTTATTTCATATCTTAAATATATTTGGAATTTTGGAAGTTCAGTTTTGGAATATTTGAGAATTTGAGGAGGCATTTGAAAATATTTGGAATTAACCTCTCTGGCTGAGATTTACATTCAACACGACCATCATCGGGGTATATTAAGTCATTTTATTTTGTTGATTTAACCTTGTCGACTCTGTCTATTGGCAACAAAGGATCGAGTTTCATGGATTTTATGCATTTATTAGTAAATTTTCTTGATTATAGGCTATGTTGCACCGATATGGATACGACATGATACGGGACACGGTATAATAATTTATAAATCATGCATAAAAAATTAAGAAAGCAATCAAAGAATAATATTTGAAATTAAAAAAAAAATGATAACAACATTATTTGTAGCCTTGTGGCTTATAATATCCAAATATAAGTAAGCATTAAATGTCTAGTACAACAATAAAAGCAAAAACATAAATTGTCTAGCACATGAAGTTTCAACTATTCAATAGAAGGAATGACATGATTAGCTTCTTCAGTGGTTTGTCTTTGAACTTCTATATCATCTTCAATAAATATCATAGCTTCTAATTCAGGCTCATCAAGTGAAAAATTAGTAATTACTAATATTCTCATAGCATCAAGAGACTCAAATCCATCTCGGAAATGAGAGAACCTTGCTCGCAGTTGGGAAAGTAAATACGACACATTTTTTTTTTCGGATTTCTTTTTGTTTTTCAACGGACACGCGTATCAGATACACTTGTCCTTTTGAAATTAAATAGTATTTTAATTGGATACGATTTTCGCGTATCCGACACGTATCAGTGGTGTATCAGAGGCGTATCTGTGTATCAGTGTATCAGATACAACACGCCTTCATAAATAGGTGTATCGGTGCAACATAGATTATAGGCCTTGAAGGCCTAATATAAACGTATTTAATAAATATCTTAATCGACGCTATGACTGTATATTTGTTTGATAGTTGGAGTTGTGTCGACTCCTATCTACTCACATAGAAGTATCGAGCTTGAACTTGAATTCACTTATTGACTCGCGCAACATCCCTAGATGTCACGTGTGTATTGATAATACGCTCGCCTGGGCCCATGCAGTAGCACATGCTTTTCAGTGCATTTTGCATATGACACATTTATTTCAGTGCATTTTGCATATGACACATTTAATGTGTATGACATATCTGTGTGTTTGTATACTTTTTGATTTGAACAATGCATTTACATAATGTGAGTGATGCATATATGTGATTTTCACTATGCACTTATATGACTGTTATATGATTGACGTAATATATTTGCATGATTAACACAATGTATATGGAGAATTGATATGACAGATATGCATAAATGGTGCATAGTATATTTGCATACATGTTTGCATATTTGTTTACAGATGCATTTATATGTTTGTATGCACATTTATGTTTTTGGTTATGCATTTGCATGTTAAACATGTGCGTAATATTTGCATTTATATAGTGCATTCGTGCAGTGCAATCGCACATTTTAGATCGTGCGTTTGTATGACACACCTATTTGAATTTTGATGCATTTGCATAATGACATGATCATTAGCATATGTAGGAAGTAGTTTGCATGATCAATGGTACGTGTGCAGGTTTGTTAGCGTGCTTATATGATTGGAAGTATGCATGTGTGCCACATAATGTATTTGCATCATGCATTTATATATCTTTGGTATGCGCGCATCATATAATAGGAACTCTTAGACGACACTCTCTTTCAGTGATTTGACATGATGTGCATATTTTGATTAGTGGTCGTATAACCCATGACACATAACAGTGCGCTATTTTTTTTCTTTTTAAAGATAAATGTTCACGAGACGTACAAGCCATTTATAGGGCACGTACGAGCCTCCTAACTTTAATAGGTTGCAGGGATGCTACCTAAAGCACTTGTGCACCCGTGACTTGCAATGTGATGGATGGTTCTTATTTTTTTATGAAGTGTTTAACTAGAAAATTACCGGTGATATGCAGGGGTTCTTATATGTTTACAATTAATGTAAGTACCCTTCGTAGGAAAGGTAAATAACTTTTTTACTTTGTCCCTTCTTTTTTTAAAGATAATTATTGCCCGTATTTGAGTGTATTCACGCTCATATTTCACATGTTGGTAAATACTCGAGGAATCCAAAGCTGGAGCCTCAAAAATGACATCTTAGGATTCTAAGCTGATGGGGGCTGCAGGCGTACCTTCCATGTCTTTTAGCAAGGGGATCCTAGGCTGGCATGGCCTGTAGGTATACCTTCATATTTTTTAGCGAATGGATCCTAGGCTGACGGGGCCCGCAAATAATTTGAATTTTGTATTATAAATAGGAGAGTGGCTCAGTTTATTTCTTCCACACTTCATTTCTACAAGAAGTGTTATTGGGGAATTTAGTTGTGTGTGTCAAGAGTTAGGAGAAAGAGGTTTGGTTCCTATCGTTGGTGAACAACTAATTCCTCTACAAATTCAGTATAAGTTGTATTATGTTATAGTATGTATTTTCTTTCATATTTGCTTTCAGTGTTGGAACCTAGGGTGTCATGTATTTTATTTTTTTTGTAGACTTAAAACTTTAGGTGAATTTTGATTTCTTTAAAATTTTTCAAGTCCATAGTTATGTTGAAATTTTTGGCAGTACCCAGCGTTGTCCCCGTGTAGGGGGCTGCATCGGGGTGCGTAAAACCTTCCTGCCTGCCAAGAAAGGCAGTCACGGTAGTTGTTAGGTGACATTACGGCTGCAATCTCATTCCCCATGTTGTGGGATAAAAGGCTTGATGTTGTTGTTGTAACATTCTTGCTTCTCCTGTGTCTTGCTCTTCTAGTACAAATGAAAGTGTTTGTTTGCTGGGAGTGTCAAACTGAAAATCATTATAATTTTTGTACATCATATTTTAAATTAATGAAATGCAAAATTTCCTTTGACTTTGGAGCTAATAATATTATTCATTTGCTCCACGGTCACCTAACATATGAGAAGTTTAGAATCTCTCTCTTGTTCATGCATTGCATATCTCATGCTTTATTGTTATTATGCAAATGTTTTGTTGCTTTTTTTATACAACATTTTTTGGTGCTCGTTAACAGGCTGCCGGAGTGAAGCGCCTTCTTTTTTGTGGTGTTGGTTGCCAAGTGCAAGGTACATTCTTGTTTCTTATTTTTGTTCAATAGGAAACTTCTTTCATTGTTATAACTTGCCACTATTGATATGCAGAGTGATTTCTTACCTGCAGCACTAAGATCTGTGGAGAAATATCTTGGTTTGGAAAAGCTTTATGTACTTGGCACAAATTGTGGTAAATGATTATTATTATTGTTATGGTTATTATTATTATTATTATTATTATTTGATAATTTGATTAGAATTCTTATTTTGTGGTGAACTTGTATTTTAAGCTTCACATCTCATGTTGCATGGCACAAACAAATAATAATCAGCAATTTGATCTATATTCAACTTGTAGTGGACAATGGAACTCGCTCAGGTTTAGATAAGTTCTTGAAGGCCGCAAGCAGTGATCCAGAAACGGTTATGCATTATGAGTTCATGCAAGACTATAAGGTTGGTAAATTTTATGTTGCTTTGTCTTTATAAATGGATGAAAGGTCATATCTCTGCACCTCATAGTTCATTATTCTCTTTCATTTTCTACATTATGCCATTCTTTGTTCGATCCTTGGCTGCTCTGGTTTCATTCTACAAGTACTCACGTATTTGTTGTTGCTCATCTTTTTTTTTATTATGCATTAGCACTTTCAATGCTTGTTGCCCTATGTTTGGCTTTCATATACTTGACTGCCTGAATTCTACATCAACCATCCTCATTGATTAAACTCAAACCAAGGAGGCGAGGACCCTCTTCCTAGTTGGATTAATCTTCAGTTCCATTTCCTTACAAGATTTGAAGGGAAGAAAAAACCCCCTAACTTCTATCTCTAACTTGTCTCAAGGCTTAATAAATAGGATATTACTTTGGTTGCTCCCATGCCATTGATTCAGATTTTAATGAAACTTGGATGGCTCTAAATATCTTGGCTTAAATTTCTAATCATCTCCTTAATTGCCCTCTCATTAAAATCCTGTTCCTTCATTTCTTTTGGTGAGTGCCCCTTTCTCAACACGTGACCATTGAATGTTAGTTCAAAAAGTTTCTGTAGCTGTAGCTTGAGTAGAAAGTTTCTCAAAGAAACTTGTTATTACTTAGAAGTCTATACGTGACAGTTGTGGCGCTGACAGGTTCACTTGAAGCATTTGGATGGCCATATTGAAGAGGTTTAATTTCCTACTCCTATTTTTTAAATCTGTACTTTATTATATCAAACTTTTCTAAGACCCAACTAATGCAAACTCTTTAAGAAAGCAGGTTCCTTACTTTTGCCTACCAGCAAATGAACTTGTTGATGTCATTGCTCCATCTTGTTACAGGTACTTGAATTTACAATACATTTGAATTATGATATATCTTAAAGAATTTCCGAAATTTGAAATTATGGTCTAGTTATAGCTGGTGGCAGTCAATAGAGGGCATGACCATAGCAATAGATAGATCGCATTCATTGCGATTCCTGGTTCATGAGTTTGAATCAAGAAAACATTCATTTTGCATAGAAGGGGTAAGGCTGCATATATTAACCCCTTTCCAGACATCGTAGTGGCAGGAGTCTCATGCTTGCACCTTTGTAACTGCTACCATCTATTATATTTTTATCAGATTGGTTAAAATCAGTTTATTTCACTAGCTTGTTTTTACTTTTTGAGGGAATCTTTTTTATGAGGACATCGAAAGATCAACGGCTACGATCTGGAGTTTATTTTATTTTTGATGTGTCTTATGTACTAGTTTTTTTCCCCATTTTACCCCTAGGGGTGGTCATGTGGTGTTGTAGCCCGAAGGGCGTTTTAGTATTTGTTTATTTTCTTTTCATGAGGCCTATTTATAGGCTAGCTCACTTGTAATTTGGGATGATGATTTGATAATGAAAATTTCATGTGTTTTCTTCGTCTTCTTATGTGAGCACGAGAGAGAAGGGAGAGAGAGCTCGAGGTGAGCAAGCGCAATACCCACCATTCGTTGGAAGAGTCTGCGACTCATGGTTTTAATTTATTTTCTTCTTCTCCTCCTTATCTCCACCCCACCCGTCAACTCCTCCTGGCTTTCACTGCCAGCCATCTTCCCCACCCAAATCACCCCACAACTCCACCATCTCAAGCCCACCCGCCAACCTAGCCTCATCCAACCCAACACCTAGCCACCCCTTCCCTTTTGCCGCGGCCTCCCCTCTTGCTCCCATTCCATTATGATGATTTCAATTATCATAATTCCCTTCCTAAATTAACTCCTAGAGGAAATGAACGAAATTGATTTTATTTGAAATTTGAAATTCAAATTTCAAATATTTTCCTTATTTGCAAATCCTAATTAGGAAAGTGCATAAAATGAATCCTATTTAAAATTCAAATTAGATTGGATTTCTTAATACCTTTCCTTATTCCCATGAGTTATTTTGGAAACCTTAAATCCCTCCCCACAATTCCTCTTCCTCCCTCCACGATGTCGTCGACCCCTCATTGGCCACCTCACCCTTTATAAAACCCGAAAACTGTCGTTCGAATGCGTCGCACGCATTTTGATGCACCACGATGAATTTAAGCAAAATTTCAAAGTCGTCGGAATTCCACAAAATAAATTTTATTAAATTCTACGTGAAATTTCGATCAAAATGGTATAAAGAACATATACCAAATTTCGCACGGTTTGGGAATTAAAAATTGCCGAAGATAATTTAAGTATTTTTACCTTTTCTTCCATTTTTACCCCTCATTATAGAGAAATTAATGGGAGAGGGGCACATGCGTCATTTTACCTAATACTCATCTTAAAACACTAAGGGACCGAAATAATCGGTTGGTCCCTTGTTCTTTCCTTCGGCCGAAAGAGAGGAGCGGACGGGAGAGGGGGGGAGACCGTCGGGGGACGCGCGGAATCCGGCGACGCTATTTTTCGGCGTGCTTTTGGAAGAAAATCAAAGGGAAGGCTTAGAGAAGAAGAAATGTAAGTTTTTCATGCAAGAAACTTCTCTATTTTTTGAGATTTTTCTTGGAGAAATTTTTAGGGTTTTGATTTTGTTGGATTTTTCCTTAGAAAAATGTTAGGGCTTGATTATGCCTATGTTTCTAAGTCATAAATATGATTTTTTCTTAAGAAAAACTTAGGTTCCAAAATTAGGGTTTCTTTTAAACATGAGATTTTGTTTAAGAATAATGTTAGGAAGGATATAGAAACATAATAACCATGAAATTTAAAGTTTTTCTTAAGAAATTTTGGAGTTTTAAATTAAGGTTTTTCCTAATTTTGCATTTCTAAGCTTGTATGTTAACTAAACTGGTTCCTAAAGGTTATGGGAGATATCTAATTAAGAGAAATTGAACTTTTTGAGAAAAAAATATTTTTTTCCTAATTTTTTTAATGTATTAATCCGAAAATTTCATTTAAATTCTATGTATTTAAAGGAAGGAATGTGATAATATAAGTTCATAATAAAGTAATTATCTATTAGGATTGATTTATGATTTATTTAAGATATATGTTATATGTGATAAACATGCTTATATGGTTAACTAAATGTTTTAGGATATGGGTAGGTGAATGTGTATTAGTGAGCTTAAGGGAAGTGATTAGCTATGACTTGAGAAGGGTTAATGAGATATAGTGAATTTAATTGACATAAGAGGCTTATGTTGTAATGTTTCTCTTAAGTTTTGAAAATAAGAATTAAGGAGAGGTTGTTGAAGTGAAGACTTTTAAAGAACAATTGAGGTTGAAATCTCTTACTCTAAATATTCATGTTCCTTTATATTTTTATTGTTCTTTTATGTTTTATTCTTTAGTTGATTTGATACATAGCAAATGCATATCTTTAGTTGATTTGATACATAGCAAATGCATATGATACATAGAAAATGCATATGAAATGTCTTTATTATTTGATAGAAATGTAGAAATATTTTTATGAATCAATGCATCGTTGATGTTTAAAATTTTAAGCATTTCATAGAAGTTATTTAATGTACTTACTTTATGATTAAGGCATATGGTTATTATAAAAATGTTACATTTCATACCTATGTTTCTATGGAAAGATTATGTAAATGATTGTGCATGTTGAAGGCGGAGTACCAAATATGGTGTGAAAGCACAAATATGGCTCTTATGAGCAATACGAAATAAAATGACCCTTTGGGGCAAAAGAGGAAAGGAAATGAATGGCCAAAAAGATATTTATGTATCTGATTAGTACACTCCTGATACTCCGGTACAGTTGTATAAGATAAAACATAAGTAAACATATGACATACATAAGTTATGAGATACATAAGACACATGACATACATCAGGCATATGACATACATCAGGCATCTGACATACATAAGACGCATGACATACATAAGGCATATGACATACCTGAGGCATCTGACATACATAAGACATATGAACTATCATATCACATTTAGCTTATACATAAGAATTATCATGTGTAGCAAAATAATCAAGGCATTTCACTTCTAGCATATATATAAATTTTCATTTTAAAAGACATGTGAAAATGTTAGGGTTAGAGTTTGTGTTAGCTCATTCCCTAGTGTTGGGATACTTTTCAGGAGAACCAGCTGCAAAAAATGGCTGACCACCCTTGGTTCACCTACAGTCGTAGAGGACCGACTGACAAGTTCTTATATTTTCTTAGTTGTAGTTTACACCTTTTTGAGATGTTTGACATGCTTGATAATGTAACCACCTCTGTACATGTGAATCCTCTCTTGAAGTGATATGAAATAATATGCAGTATTTATTATATATTTGAAAAATTTTAGAGGCGCTTTTAGTTTCTTGTGGAGTATTTTAGATTAATTCAATGCATGTTTTAAGAAAGGTTTATGTTATGAACATCTGATTCCATTCCCGCCTCGTCTACATGAGCTCACCAGGCCCGGGTCGTGACACCCTTAATGATGATTAATGTCATCATTACCACTTATCAAAATAGCCCCATTGATTTAGGAAGATAACCCCTCAATTTGAAATTCAAATTTTGAATTTCAAAATCTTTCCTAATTTGACAAAGCTATATTTGGAAAGTTTTAAATCTCATTCAATTTATTTTTAAATTGGATTTGATTTATGCTTACTCTTCCTTAGGAAACTCAATTTGGAAGCTCTTAAATCCCTCCACAAAATCCTCCTCCCTCTCTTAATGCCACCGGCCCCTTGATAGGGCTCCACCTTGGATTTCCCTCTTAAGCCCCAACTCAATTTTAATTTGAAATCAAATTCAAATTCTTTCCCTCCATTTTCACTTAATCTGAAATTAATTTTATATTTCTAATAATTCTTCCTAATCCTAACCTAGATCTAGCTGCCCCCTCTCTCTCCTCACTCGCTCTCTCCTATTTGAATTGGGAATTTAATTACACGTGCCACCTAAGCAAGTAATTAAATTCTAATATTATTCCCACAGCTATCCATAAAACTCCCCACCACATTCCCCCAGTTTTTGTGCATCCAGATGGCGGCAAATCCTGAATTTCTCCTCTCCAACTTGCTGTCTAGAATTCTGGACAGGTTCTAAGTGCTGCCATGAGACTCAGAACATAGGAAGCTGCTTTGTCCAGAAGAACTACAGCAACAGAAACAGCAGTTCTGCTGTTCCCAAGTCCTCCAGCTGCTGTCCTAAATCTCCGAACAGGATCTAGGTTGCTGTCCAGATGAAATTCAGCCAAAGGAGGCGACTATCTTAACCGGAAAGACCTTCTAGTTGTTGCCCCTAATGCCCCAAACCAGGATTTGGTGAACTCTTTCCCTCACTCTTTTATTTTCCTTGTTACTTTCAATTGTGGAATTAATTGATTCATCGAGATCGTGTTAGTCATCTGCTAACGCCTAGAAATTGGAAGAGTTGATTGAGGTATCTTCTTGTAGAGACTAATCTTTTGTTAGCATTGAGATTTATTGTTCAAAATCAATCATGTATGCAACATTCAATTAAATTGACTGTGTTATGATCTTAACTTCTATGCATGTGATTTAGCCTAAGCTTGTCTTACCACCCTTGTGTTTTATTTTGTCTTTCAAAATCACTCTAAGGATATAATTATTGTGCTCTAAAAAAATTAAGCGTGCAAATTCATTAAGTAATTCATCTTCGCATGTTCGTTTTACATCACTTTTGTTGAAATAAAAATTGAGAGCACCATGTGGTTGCCAATGGTTAGCTATAGATTGATAATATTTGTGATGTCAGAAATTGCATGCTTACTATGATATTATTATATTGTTCGATAGCAATAAAAATAGAGAAAATAAAACTCAAGAGGAAGAAGCAACGATGTAATTCATTTCAATGGACCATTAAGATGAAATTGTCGTCAATATTAATACAAAGATAAGTATAGGATCACTATCACAAGGGCAGAGGTTGTTGCATAGCTGTAGTTAGGATTTGATGGGATCTTTTGATCTCAAGATTGAGATGGACTAGAGGAGAAATTGACTGCTAACAAATAGAATTCCACATTGAACATGATTATATGAGATGGAATGCAAGTGCTCCTAAGGGAATAAAATGGGACATTGAGAACCTGTACGAGGCAGCAACAATTGCAGTGGAAATTTCTGAAGTGTAGTTAACTGGCATTGCTAAAATAATAATGTCTGCCAAATCATATTTACCAATGGGAATAATGGAGGGAACTATATTCGTTATTCAAAGACAGTTATAGTGTTAAAATAAAGTAATGGGAGGAGACATAGGAAAGAATAACTGAAACCATGTTCTCACGTTCCCATATCATACACACAATGCAATGGAAATAACTGCTATGCGATCCCTACAAAGAGAAATAGAAACGAAAACAAGAGATTACGCTTACTGATGAACTTGAGCCGAAAGCCCCGTTCGTTTTCGAGCCCTCTTCGATGTGTTGCAGTTAACCGCCTCTATTTCTTACACAACCCTCCTACGGGTCTCTCCTATTTGGTTTCAGACCCACGCCCGGTGAAACCCGTCGTCCGTCCGCCTCACCTGCAAGCGGCCGGCACATACTGCCACTCCCAACCTCCAGATGCAGCATCTCCCGACCAAACAACACCCCATTGCCTTCGCCTTAGTCCGAACCTCCTAAGCCTTTCCGAGCCCGCCTCCCTTCGACTCGGTCTCATGCGAACAACCATTCGTTCACCTCCCGACCCGCCTCTGTTCGATTGCGGTACCCTCGTGAAACCACGAGCTGTGAATTTGACCCCTCTTGCACCTGCGTCTGTCCTCCTGTGCAAGGATGGGACCTCACGATCTTGTAACTCTCTCTTGCGTTCGATCTTGACACCAGGCCATTCAACCCTGCTCTTTGCAACCGACCTCCACAGTCGAGCTGCCTTCGTCTACACCCGCAAGGCAAACATACAACTTAAGCTTTGGTTTGTTCCACACACTTAAGCCTAATGCTTCTTGATTTGAAACTGGGAGCAAGGAAGAAAGGGTATATTATATTGTGTTATTATTATTAATAGAATATTAATAATAATAATAATTACAATTGAAGGAATTTATTGTATTATTAATAAAATATTATTAATAATAATAGTTGTAAATTATTAATAATAACTAATAATTATTATAATAATTATTGTTGTTATGATATAAAAGAAAAGCATATGGCGTAATTACCAAATCGGAAGGTTGAAGATGCATTCAAGAGTGATATGCCCCTCGAAGCCCTTGGACGTTGATTTGATCCGGTCGAGCGGATTAAAATGGCGAGTACCCTCCCTAACCTCCCCTCGCGGGGAGGGGCGCCAGAAGGTTGTCGAGTTTTAAATAGGTACCATAGTCGCTAAAATTGGAGTTAAAGACTAAATTCGGGGTCAATTCGCTCCCCCAAAACCCTCGTCGTCAATTTGATCCAAGCGGGCTAGAAAGGGCAAGTGCCCTCCCTAACCTCCCCTCGTGGGGAGGGACGTCAGGAGGTTGCCGAAATTTCCCCGAAAATATTAGACTTAGTGCGGATTTTTGGAAAAAAATTGGAAAAAGATATAATTGATTAATTTAACTTTAAAATAATAATTAATTACTTAATTGTAATTAAATGAGAAATTCTAATTGAAATAAAATTGTTAACTAATTAGCTAATTAAAATCTAAACTTAAATCATATTAAATAAATTTGAACCTTTAAAATTCATATATTTAATTTTGAATATAAGTTAATTATTTGAATGATTAATTAATTAATTTAACTCTAATTTAAATAATTAATAAAAATCAGAACATTTATTAAAAAATTTTAATTAAAACTTTAATTGAAATAATCAAGAGAATATCTTTTAATTCATTAATTTAAATCCTTTATATTAATCAAATTTATCGAGTAATTAAATTTAAATAATAATACAGTTAAAATAACTAAATAATTTTAAAATACATTTAAAATCAATTAAATAGCTGAACAATTAGTTTAAATGCTTTTAATTAAAATTAAATATTAATGCAATTAATTCAAAATTAAATAAATGCATTAAATAAAAGTAGAACAATGTTCACACTAAATCAAACACCATACGGCTCATACTAAAACCCAAACTCCTAAAAAAAGTAACCAAAACATAAAACAGAAAGAAAGGCTCCAAAATCCCAAAACTACACTCCTAGTAAACAACAACTCACAAACTCAAACTCTCAAAGCTCTCTAGCTCCTACAACTGTTGCAGGTACCACATACTTGCAAGTAAAAAAATAGAGTATTAGTACAACATAGTAAAAAAAAACTAGTGCTAGTAAAGAAAAGTAGGTGCTGAACAAACAACATGGCTAAAGTAGAACGACAAGCTACTTGGGTAAAAGAAAACTACAAGCACCATTACGAGCATAAAACCACAAGTACACTACTGAATGCTAGAGTAGAAAATAACTGTTGGGTAGTAAATGTCAAAACAACAACGATTGCAGGCTAGTAAGTGTCAAACTAGTGAACAAGCAGACTAGTAAACGACTAATAGCTAAAGTCTAGTGTCAGACTTGTACACAACTGCAAACTAGTGTACCTACAGTACCAATCTACCAACAATTAACCTCTAGGCTACTTTTTAATAGGAGCTGTAAGTCCCATCTCAATTAGGATGTTAGGGAAACCTTTCCCTAAATAAATAATGCATCCCTGATAACCCGGGCCACCTTTAATAGAGGCCATATGACATGCTAATTGGGATACTTCTAAAGTGAAGTAGTAAGACCCGCTTTTAACTCACACATGTGCAACCTTTAATTGAGGCCGTAAAACTTACTACAACGACTACTTTCAATGAACGTAGTAAGTCCCGACCCAAATCCAAACTACAGGCAAACTCCTAAATGGGGCCATGGGACCTAACCAAAAGCTAAACTACGGGCAACTCCCAAGTAGAAATGCAAATCTCAACCTAAACCAAACCAACCTACATCTATCCACTTTAGTTTACTCGGGATTTCTAAGAGGAGGCAACCAATGAATGTTAATCAAATTCCCTGGACACTACAATCAATGTTTGTTAGTGTTGGTCGACTGAAACCAACGGTATACTCGGGACGACAGAACAATGGGATCTTGATCTTGTGTATCTTCATCCCTCATAAGTAAGACTAAAACACTGGCACATTTCTACATTTCTTGCATAACTAAATATACTTTCATCTTTAATCGAGAGTGCTCTTCTACGCGTAAGAAGGGGTAATTAACTGAGGGCTGCGCTCATAGGAAGTGGAACATCATAATTAAATAAACCATGATGTCGTTCATCAAGGGAAATCTGATTAAATTAAAAATCCAATCTACCTCGGGAAAACTGGTACCTTAGGCTTGCGAAAGTGGGGTTTGTGCCGCCCAACGACATTTTCACCTTTCATGAGGGTGAACATCTTTATTTCATGAAATGTGACTTTGCATGCTGCTGCCATGATTGCATTCTTGAATTCAAGATGAAATCAGTTGAGGCGATAGTGAAAACCACTTAGCTTTATCTATCTAATATTACCAGATCAAATAGTTATTTATTGATTATAGTGTTGCTTCTCCTGAGGCTTGTGTGATAGTGACATGGAATGTCTTTCCATTCTTATTTTCAGTAGTCACCTAGTGGTTGTGTCTTGCTCTCTAATTTTCTGCTTTATATTTGTGTCAATATTTCATATAGCTAGCTTGGACTGAAATCTGAGGCTAACCCTCTTATTTGTTTATAATTTTTGCAGCTGCTTTGACTACACCAATGCATTGGCGGTAAGCCTGCTGTACTGAGTAGACTTCTACTTCAATTATCACAATTTTAATTGATAGAAATGAAGTATCTGTGGCTCCCATCAATATTGTGTTGAGGAGAGTGGAAATCTCATTTTAAACTTAAAATCTCTTTCCAAAATATGTTGTCTTACAATAGAAAATGTTGGATTTACAAGTTGAAATTGTTTCAGTTGATTATAAAGTCATTGGTAAAAGTGCCATAAGGAATACCAAATTTTCATTTGGTATAATGCAGTGTTGAAACAATTTTTTGCTTCTTGGTTATGATTGAATTAGGACTGTACTTGCACGCACAAATTACAGGCACGAATATTTTATTCTTATGTAACTTGATTAAGGTCATTCTCTACAACAACAACAACATCAAGCCTTTGTCCCACTACGTGGGGTTGGCTACATGAATCTTTTTTCGCCATTGCGTCTGGTTAAAAGTTAAATTTTCATTTAAATTTAATAAAGAAAGATCATTTCTAATATTTTCTATCCAAGTCTTTTTAGGTCTACATCTACCTTTCTTAACATAAGTCAAATCTAATACCTCAACTTTCCTAACCGGGTCATCGGAAGGCCTTCGTTTAATGTGACCAAACCATCTAAGGCGACTCTCTCTAATCTTATCTTCCACTGGAGCTACTCCAACCTTTTCACATATATGCTCATTTCGTATCCTATCTCTAAGGGTCAAGCCACTCATCCACCTAAGCATCCTTATCTCTGCAACACTTAACTTAGTATTATGCTTCTCTTTTAATGGCCAACATTCGGTACCATAAAACATTACAGGTCTCACCACCATCTTATAGAATTTTCCCTTAAGTTTGAGGGGAACTTTTCTATCGCACAATAAGCCCGATGCATTCCTCCACTTCAACCATCCAACTTGAATTCTGCTGATAATATCCCATCAATTTCACCATCACTTTGAACAATAGATCCAAGATATCTAAAACGTGTACTCTTATTAATTACTTGATCACCAAAAATCACAATCCCATCACTAGGTCTATTGCTTCTAAAATTACACTCCATATATTCAGTTTTAGATCTACTAAAGCGAAAACCTTTAGACTCTAAAGTTGACCTCCATAATTCAAATTTACCTTCAACTCCCTCTCTAGTCTTATCGACAAGAAGAATATCATCTGCGAAAAGCATACACCAAGGTACATCCTCTTGCAAATGTCTAGTGAGAACATCCATGACTAAAGCAAAAATATATGTACTTAAGGCTGATCCTTGATGTAATCCAACCGAAATAGAAAATACTTGGTCAAACCACCTTGTGTTTGAACACAAGTAATAGCTCATGCATACATATCTTTAATGATTTGAATATAAGCATTATTAACTCCTTTCTTTTCAAGAACTCTCCATAGCACTTCTCTTGAAACTTTATCATATGCTTATCTTAATGATTAAGGTCATTCTCTTTGTATGAATAAATCTGAGTATTGAGATCGAGATTTTTACTTAAAGCATCAAAATGATTACTTAAGAAGTTTCCTAGCAGTCATTTTATCCAACCTGTTTGCCTATCTTTGACTAGGTTCTTTTCTTCCGAGTTTTTCCCTTCAAATTTTCTTTTGTTAGAGAACTCAAAAGCATATTTAGATGCATAGCTATGATTTGATTACCTACACGTAAAGTAATATGATCCTTTTGATTGAACTACTAAGTTTCAAAATTTACTGATGGTTGAGGAGACAGCCTTTTAATTAAAATGACCAAAGTTTCCGTACTGTTTCCTTCTTCAAAAAGTTTAGATTCTTTTTATTTGGTTTTGTAATGGACACAACTATATTTTTTTGATGGGTTTTTGATGCGTTAAAGCTCTTGAAACTTTAGGACCTGGTGGTGGGATACATGGCAGTGCCCAAATATTCTGGATTAAGCATGACAGAACACCCACAATACATTACTGTCAGGTAAAGAGTGTACCGCTTGTGTAAACTTCTATTCATCGTTCTCAATGAACTTTATACTCTGATTGTTAGTATATATGAAGCTGTTAATTTTCTTTCTTTTCTACTACTACACATATTTGAAATTATGAAAAATGCAGAAATGAAAGAGGACGGGAGATGCTTAACCTAGTTGAGAATCTTTTGGAGATAACTGATACAACCAGCAGTGTAAGGGAAAAAGTTGCATGAATGTTCACATGATGAATCATTGCAGTTGTGAAAGCTTGTCTGGTAATCCATGTAAATTTTCATTTCAGGGAAGCAGAAGACCGTTTGTTATGGAGACGGTTAATGCAGATGATAAAGCCAAGTTAGGTATGTCTAGGGGCAGAGCCAATTTTTTTTTTGTAGGGCACAAAATAATAATTTTAAAATATGAATAATTTTATTTTTTCATTAGATCTCGGGACCAATATTGGTGGTTAAAAAAATAGAGTTTTAATTTCAAAGAATTATATATATGGCATTGCAAAATATATTACTGAGCCTCACCTTTATGCATATCACTTTTATTTTCTTTATCTGATCGTCATTATTGAAAATATTAGTCATTATAAATATTATTGATGTTTCACAAAAAAATGCTTTGATTGGGCATGAATCTCGATACAAATCTGAATTGAAAATGTTTGAAATTAAATTTTGGGACCATCCAAACTCTGATTTTAGCAAGCTTATAATCAAATTGATCATTTTAAGGAGGCGGACCCGAGGACACCAAATTCAATCCAAACTGAGCCCAAATGAGCTCAAATCAAAGGATCAAAACATTGTTGGAAGCTTCAAAACATTGATTGATGACAAAATAATATCCAAATATGACATGCTTATAGTCGAATCGAGGCACTCGACGAGATGAATCCAACGAGTCCAAGATCACTCAATTCTAACATCAATAAACGCTCAATGATCAATGGAATCAATATGAGCTATCCGATGAAACACCCCAAAATTGTCTTTAATCTTCTCCATATTTATTTAGTCACTCCAAAAATTATAAATAGACCCCCATTCTTTATATGAAGAGGGGAGAGGAAGGTGGAAGTAGGGGTATTACTTCGGGTCAACGGGTTGGGTTCGAGTCCAACTTGAGTTGACCCGGGCGTAAACGGGTTGACCTGAACTTGACCCGACTAGCTAAATGGGTCAGGTTTTTCAACTCGACCTGACCCGCGCGAGTTACTGGTTTGACCCGACCTACGAACCCGATTAGCTAAATGGCGTAGGTGGTGAGGCAAGGCGAAGAGGCCGACGGTGACTGGATCACTGGTGAGGCAGAGCAGGCGGTGAGGCCGACTGCTTGACGCCTTGAGGCCAACGATGGTGAGGCCGACGACTTGATGCCTTGAGGCCGACGACGGTGAGGCCGACGATGATGGCTTGACGGGTCGCATTACTCGCGTACTCGAGTTTGTCGTGGGTGCCGTTAGGTCATGGTAGCAGCAGATCTAGGATGGAGGAGATGTTGCACTACGGAAACTTGTAGGACGGGACAGTTGAAGCTGAAGCGACGAGACTAGATGCGGACAGCAGACGGGATGATTGGCCTCAAGCCTGGCGCGGACGGGACAACAATCACGTTCTCGAATCAATTGGGTTGACTTCGGGTTGCCGGGTCAACCCGAACCTGATTTGATTTTACAAACGGGCTGAAAACTCTAACCCGAACCCAACCCGTATAGCAAACGGGTTGACTCGAACCAAAATTTTTCTTATCGGGTCCGGGTTGGGTTTCGGGTCTGGTCAAATTTTGACACCCCTCGGTGGAATAATAGAAGAGCTCTGGAGCTTGAGGAATCTTGGAGCTCTACCCCGACAACATCATCGACGAATCCAAGCCATAGCTATTGAATCTCTGCCCGACTATCGTTGTTGGATCTCTATCTAGCTTCCATTACCGGGCCTTCCTCCGACCACTGTCGCCTACCAATAACTGTCCCTTCGACCACCACTGCCAAACTATTGTCCTTCCGACCTCTTTTGCACCCCTAATTATGGTCTCTCCATCCACTATCATCTGACTACGGCTCTACGGACCAAACAAATAGGCATGTACTCTCTTAAGAACATTTGCTATGTTGTTCTCCAACTATGTAATATGCTTTATACAATATTTATTTGCTACATTAAGCCAGCACTCTTCTCTGGAGAATGACATCATTTGTAATCAACCACCAACACTAGTTTAATCATTTCGACTGGGCAAGACCCTGTGAATTTTCCCATTCGAGGGTTTTTCACGTAAATTTTTTGGCATCTTTTATGATTGCTGCACTCCTCTATTCTATTTGTTTGTGTGCTGAATCTTCGTATAAGGCTAAAACGCTAAATTTTATATTTCTTTACCGTTGTGAATATTCTAGGATGCAACAATTATTAAAAATATTTGAAAAAAAAAAAAAAAAAAAACAGGTCTAAACATTTAAACAGTATTTTTATCAAATACATTAGATTTGTCTTAAAATATATATAATAAAAATTAATTAATTAGTTATAGATTATATTTATTTTAAAATAAACTGAATAATTTTGATTCATTCTAAATAATGCCTATCAGAAGATTATCCTATATCAAATTATTTACTTAAAATTTTAAATGAGTAAAATATAAAATGATGATTCTCAGAATGATTGGACCTACGTTTGACATTTTTCATCCCAATCAGAATCTAACATTTTTGGACTTCTCATTCTCTTGTATTTTGGTGGCAATTTAATGAATCTCTTAACAAAGTGTTCCAGATGGGAAGGCATTCATCTTCTTGAATAGGCAAAGTGTTCTTGATGGGAAAATATTCATCTTCATGCATACTATTTTCTCTTTGAAATTATAGCATTAGAGCCTTTAATAGTAATTTATCATATTAAATATTTAAATTTTAAAAAAAGGCTGATGGGCCAGTGGGGGCCCATGCCCCCAGGGCCTCCATTCTAGCCTGCCTTTCGGCATGTCATTGCCTAAATATGAAATTCTAACTATTTCTCCTTGGATTTATCGTTCTACTATATTGAGAAAACAACTTCAGATGTTGCCTCCATTTCTGCTCTCATTTGATAAGCCTTTTGCATGCATACAAAAATCATGGAGGCTAGTCAAATAATAAATGAAAACTCATAATGTTTCAAGACCTTTTTCTTATTGCTGGATGGACTTTCTTTATTGAAATGCCTAGTTTCTCATGCCTTGGAAAGAGATCTCTAACAATCTATTTTAAAACGGTCTATTTTAATCCTTTCAGGAAAAGGTCCCTCTCAGCAAGTTCCTCGATTCATTGGCAATTTGATTGCATTCATGTTAAATTTAGTAAGTTCAACGGTCAGAACCATAGTTTCTTCATAATTGTGTTTCAATATCTGATTAATTGTAATCTAAAATTGATTATGCTATTGCAGATTGGACCCAAAGGCCTTGAATTTGGTCGATATTCTTTGGATTACCATACAATAAGAAACTACCTGTATGTAAACCGCCAGTGGGGAAAGCAAAGGTGGTATAGCTAATCTCTGTCATTTTGTGTCTGATATTTTAGTAGATTGCCTCTCAACTATCAATATAATGTTTTGTTGACAGAGCTGAAAGACACATGCCGTCATATGCAAAGAAAATTGTGGAATTGTATAATGCAGATGGCCGTATAGATAAAATGCTTTCAAAGACATCGAATTAGGAGGTATGCTGAATCTCTTATTTTTATGGTGGTATATTTAACGAACCTTGATAAGTAAGGATTGATATCTGTGTCAGTACTAAATTGACACAGATAGCACAAAGCTTTCTCTCTCCTAGGAGGGAGGGATGGAGAAACTATTCTGTGTGGTCACTGAACGGTCAAGAGGCGAATCAGAATGCATCACGTCACACGTTATCGAGCTGTACACAACAAAAAAATGACGTGGGGCGTTCTCATTGGCCTCTGGACGCTGTTCGGTGACTACACAGAATAATTTCTCGGAGGGATGAGGGAGGAGAGTACCACAAATTGAATTTTGTTGATCTCCATTAATGTGGGGACAATTTATGTTAGTCTACAATCTCCCCTCATCAACTCACTGTGGTTCTTGCTGTGATCTCCCATTGCTCTACTTAGGGAAATGCTCGTCGTTGTAATTTTATCACTTGTGTCCCCTCTGAAGCAATTTTACCTCTTTTATTTCCTTTTGATTGTGAAGCAGGATCTGTGTTGCTGAAAGGTTTGAAGACCGTTAGCTGCATATAGTGAGAGGTTGATACTATTTCTTTGTTGTCTGAAGTTCAGATTAGCCTTCCAAGTTAGGTAATTTTTGCAGGACATTTCTCTTGCTAATTTTCCTTGTTGATGGGCCAGGTTAGAGAGTGGCTGAAGGATTGAAGTGCTTGATAGGAAGATAATTTTAATATGTTTGATTGTGATTTTACTTTCACTATTTCTCACTTTCTGCTGAAATTTTAATGGTTATATTCATGGAATTTGTGAGCTTTGATGTTTGTGTTAGTTTCTAGAAAATGTTGATATCTAGCAAGGTTATTTTTATTTCTAGGGCTCATTCGTTTGCATATAGATGGAACAAATGTTTTTAAAAATAATGATTTTATTTTTATTTATTTTGCATGTGAAAATAAAGTCATTTCATTCAAGAAGATTGTAGATGCTTAAAATTCATATTGAATTAGAAGGTTGTCCATACATTATATATATAGTCAATTCGGGTCAGTGGGTCGGGTTTGGGTTGAACCCGACCCGTTTTTGTAAAGCCAGGTCAACCCGAACCCGACCATATATATATGTAGTCTATTCGGGTCAGTGGGTCGGGTTGAACCCGAATTGATCCGGCTTTAAACGGGTCAACCTGAACTTGACCCGTTTTTGTAAACGGGTCGGCTTTTTCAACCCAGACTTGACCCGCGCGGGTTACCGGGTTGACACGTCCCGACCTGAATTTTTGAAATACTCCCGGCGGCGCAGCGGCATCACTAAAAAACCATTGCCTTGATTTATTGAGAGATTATATGTGACATCCAACTAAATTTATTTATCTTTTTTCTCTGTTATATTTTGCTATCATACTACTATAAATATTCTAGTAAGGAACTATAAAAATCACTTATACTCCCTTGTTAATACCACTTAAAAGGCTACAAGTTAATCAAAATAAAGCCAATTTAAAAAGTTATAAAATTTTCATTTCCCCAAGAGTTACTTTTCTTTCTTAGCCTAAAAGGTTATGCATTATATTTGTCCTATTTCTTATAGAGATGGAAGGTTGGTAATGCAATCAACTTATATTCACTCTTAGTCAATATATCAATTTGAATTATAATCTAGGAGAAGCTAAATGTGAAATTCTCCCCTCATATACTTACCTTATATTTTCATAACATATATTTAATGGTTGAGATACAATAACATTCGCAAGAGTGTCCTCACGAGGGAAATCCGGACGTATACCGAGCAATACTGAGTGCTCCGTACCGAGCTCCACGTGACGTGGCGCATGGGTATTGGTCTCTGGACACGTTCGGTGTTCGGCCGTAATAATTACTCTCTCACGAGAATGACCAAACTCGATGAGGCCTAGTCTCTTAAAAAAAAACCTTTGTTTATTTACCCTAATTTGTTTGGTTCAGCTGTAATATACATAAATTTCAAGTAATAAAAATTCAAAGCATTATTTATTTTAAACTTATATTAGTTTTGTTAATACATTCTAATTATAATACACTCTTAAATAGATTAATAATTGCTTAACAGTTAATGGTTTTTAAGTGAATTTTCATTAATATTAATTAAAGTATTAAATGAAATTAGCTATTTTATGAATATATGCTTATATTGGAAGAGAATTTTTGGCATTTAGTTGTGGAAGTGAGCCCCATTTCCTTTCTTTTGATAAGGATTCACGCATGCAGCACTTGGGAAAAATCTTAAAAAAAAAAAAAAAAAAAAAAAGAAAAATCGGGTGTGGGACTGTAGAAGAAATTGACACAGTGCTTATATTGGACTAGGGGTGTCAATTCGGGTCAACAGGTCGGGTTCAGGTCGAACCCGGAATTGATCTGGCACTGTTAGGGTCAACTTGAACTTGACCCGTTTTAAAAAACGGGTCAGGTTTTCGGATCTGAACCTGACCCGACACGAATGACCCGAAGTTGGCCTAAAAATACTAGTTTTCAAGTCAAAAATCGGTCAATCTTCGATTTTTGGGTCAATCTCGGGTTTTTGTGTCAAAAAGTTATTTTCGTGTCAATTTCAGATCATTTTCGGATTGTTGGGTCAATCTGAACCCGACCCGTTTCGGGTCCGGGTTGACCCTAACATGAATTTTTCCGGATCTTGTCAAAAATTGACACCCTATTATTGATGTTCAACATGCAGAAATTACTATAGCAATTTCGGCGGTGTTTTCACATACTGTAGCAAGGAGTGGCATAGTGAAATTGCCGGCTAGAGAGGAATTTTGTTGAAAAGGGAAATTTCTGAATTCAGTAAGGAGCTGTTTGGTATGATGAATTAGAAGTGTAAAGTATTTTAATTACACGCATTTTACAAATTATACTGTTTGGTTGGTTTTGAGCGGAGAATTAGAAATTCCTCCGAAGGTTCCACGGTGTATTGCATAGTTCATTTCGCGTGACTTCGAAACCCGCTCAAATTGAGTGGGTTAGAAATCCTCTCGCGATCTTCCGCAGACTCCTCCTTCGTCAACTGCCTCCTCGGCCTCGAAGACGACTCTTCCGGAAAATCCCGCTCTGGAATCTCTGCCTCAGCTGTCGCGTCTGGCGGCGCCGGGCAGCCAGAGCATGAGCAGGTAATTCATCAGCCAACTTGGGCTCACCAGCGACTTTTGGCATAATGCCTCTTCCCAATACGACAGTTTTCGTTATAACGACCGGCGTATCTCGACATTGCCGATGAACTCGGCGAGCTCGGGACATGTGCCGTTGAATTCGTTAAGAACCCAATCAGAGAGATCGATAAAGCCCGTCTTAGACTGGGAATCGAGCTTCTGCGACCGTTTTAAGAGCTGGGAGATGGCACTGTCTGTTGAAGCAAGGGCCTTGGCACGATGGAAGCATTCAAAGGCTTGTGAGTAACAATGGAGGTCAAGGAGGACCTTCCCCTTGCAAACGAGGGACTTAAGATGGAAAGGATTAAGCTTAAGCGCGTGGTCGCAGTCAATTAGCGCGGCGCTGAGGTCTCGTAGCTTGGAGTAGGCTTCGGCGCGGTTGGAGAGAGCGGAGCAGAGAGTTCGCCGGAGATTAGTGGAGTCTTCGTCGTCGTCGTTTGGTGAAGTTTGGGGGAAATGGCAGCGGGAGATGAAGCGGGAGTAGAGATTGATGTATTCGTTCCAGTCCCCTTTTAGAAGGAGCTTTGTTGCTGTTGATCTAAGCTTAAGCATCTCTAACTCTGCTGCGGAGCCTTTCATGCTTTTCTTCTTTGCTTGGATCGATGGGATTTTGAATTTGGATGGAGGATGAAACAACTTTCTTTCACTTTGTTTTTCATTCATTAATCATAATTTCGTTTGTTTAGTGCCGGAGTCTGGCCGGAGTGCCTATTGGATGCTCCCTCCAAAGATTAATGATCTCGAACTCAGAGTTCTCCTTCTTTCCTTGAATTTTATTAAATTTCAAAATTTTAAGGTTGTTACCTATTATGCTTTTACTATACTCTAGATATATCTAACCAAACAAGGGAAACATTTCTCCCGCGTTTACTTTGCAGACAACCAAACAACTTCAATGTATTTGGAATGCACTACATTTATTTTACACTGCATTTACTTTACATTGCGTTTACTTTGCAGGCAATCAAACAGCCCCAAAGAAAAATAAGGGTAAAGGAGAAATTCTGATTTCAGTAAAAGAAGAATAAAAAGAGAAATTTAGGGAAGGAAAAAGAAAGAGGTAAGCATTTTTATATTCATAGTTGTCTTATAAAATTTTAAGTAATAGTAGAAGTTCTAAAGAAATGTATACCAATTGTAATTTTAGGATTCATAAGATATATGCACAAAGAAGATTTTGGGATAGCTTATCAAAGGAAAAAATTTGCATGGTGTAAAATTGGAAGAATCAATTCTTCAAAAGGGGAAATTTGGCAATTATAAATTATAAAAGTAAATATTAGAATTTCTTGATGCATACAATATCAGTTGATTCATTTACAAGTTTAATTGTGTTAAATTATGGAATATGAACATACATATTTGTATGCATTTTTAAGCAACTAAATATCCATAGGAAGACTTGCAAGTGGAAATACGATAAAATATGTTTGATTGAGACATTGCTAAGTTATGTTAAAAGTAAGTTGTGTAAATTCTAATCTACAAATGTAAGAAATATTAATTCTAGATATATAAGATATCATTTGATTTATTTGAAGTGATAAATACATTATGAAGATTCCAAAAGTAAACATGAGAATGCATTTAATTATCATGTATAAGAAATCTGCATATTCATACGATAATTGAAGTTTGAAATATGAACAAGCATGATTGTTTAAATCTTTTCTTAGTTGGAAAGATTTTGAAAAGAAGGTTAGTTCTTTAAATATTGAATGATTTTTCCTTATTCAATAGATATATAATTATAAAAAAATTATGGAATGTATACAATAATAATAAACATGTATGAATTATGAATATATATATGAAGTGTAATGAATATCAATTTAAAGTAAAGTTTGATTATAAAATATTGTATAACTTATAATTATATGTGGGGCAAAAGGATCCCCATGTATGACACAACATGGGGCAAAATGGACCGCAAAGATATGATGCATGCATAGCAGGTGGGGCAAAATGAACTCTTAAAGAGACAAAATGGTCCTCTATGCTAATCAATGGCGATAATGACAAATTTGCTTGAACTCTATTCAACATGTTTATGAAAGTTAGCCAAATCTTTAAAACACTAATATTGATATTCAATATAGACTTCAAAGAAAGTAAATGTAAAGCTTATAAATAATGTCTAGTTTGTTTAATTTATGATTTTAATGTTGTGAATTTTATAATCATGCAAATTAACTGCTTTTTAAATTTGTATAACTTATTGAGCCTAATAACTTACCAGTTCTTTTCATACCGAATGTTGTTATAAAAAATAAAATGTGGATGTAGAATAAGTGCAAGTTATTTCTTCTTAGATACTAGTATTTAATTAGGTTTGTAAGTCTATAACAGAGGTGTGTGGACAATTTAGAAGTGTAATATTTTGGGACTGTATTAGTGGCTATGTAACTACTTATTTGATGTATTGGATTTATTAGATTCTTCTGTTTATGTAGTAAATGTAATGTTGTTCGACGTTTTATATAAATATATGCAACTGATGAAAAGTATCATATATGTTTATGATGAAAAATATTATGTTTATTTGTGTGGCACTCTATAGTACTAATAAGGGGTATTGTGCAGTGGCGGATCTAATGTGGGGGCACTAGCCTATTGGGGGGTGTTACATCAACTCACGTCTCTACTCCTCCCTCAAGACCTCGACCACAGATGTAGGCGGGCTCACCTCATCCTCGTGTGTTGACGGATGTACGACTCCTCTTGGCTCGCCTCTTCACGTGCGTAGACGTCTGTACATCTCCTTTCGGTTCATCCTCTTCCATCTCGCCTCTTCCGCATGCGCAGACTGAACGTCCGACTCCTCTCTCTCTCTCTCTCTCTCTCTCTCTGCTTGCTTGCAAATGGAATTACCTCTACCTCTCTTTGCTTGCTTTCAATCTTCAACAAAACTTCTAGCTAAAGGGGTAATGAAATTTTTTTTAAAAAAAAATGTTGGTCGCTTATCTGTTAGGCTAAGGCAAAATTTTTTTTGTCTTATAATTTCTAAGGATTTTGCTAATCATATGTTGCTTGCAAAGTTGTAATGTGATAACATAAGACGTCAATATAACATCAGAGGAAGGCTTAAAAACTGGTTTCAAAATTAAATTTAACAGAGACGGTGAGATTTGTTTAATTATTTTTCAATTTATTATATTAATTGACATTGCATTTGGTATTTCCCTTTCTTTAGTCTTTTTATGTTAGGATAAATTTTTTGAAATTCATTATTTACAAAATAATATATTGCATGAATGTTTTGCACTCTTATTTTAAATTTATAAATTTTAACGTCCATGAAGAGATATTTCAAGTGATCATCGAATTCAATTACATAAAAATTATATATGGGAATAATAATAAATATGAAGAGAAAAGAAAATGAAAAGCTCTCTCTCTCTAGAGACAAATAGGTTTGAACATTATTGTTGGTAGGGCTATCAATATTTATAAACTGGGAGAGACGAATGGGAGAGCATTTATGGCTTTAATGGGTTTGAACATCATGCTAGGGTATGATGTCCAAGATTCAGAGTAGGTCCTACCCAATATTTCCTTTAGATTTCAAATAGTCTAGATAGCGGTATCAACATTATTATTGGTAGGTATGTTAAAATCGGGTCACAGGTCAGGTTCGGGTCAAACCCAGAATGGACCCTACACAAGTTGACCCGACCCGAACCCGACACATTTTTAAAATGGTCACTTTCTCAGACCCGAACTTGACCGGCCAACCCGTCTTTACTTATGATCAAAGAAAGTCGAATTAAACGTCGGAGCTCCGGAACAGTGAGTAAGTTCTTCAGGACGCCGACAATGCCTACCTGGGCTTGAAGAGTGTTACAGTGGTAGGTATCGAGAAGAATAGAGATTGTTTAACACCGTGATTTATCCGCATGATGGCGGGGTCGTGGGAGTGCAGAACAACAGGACCGTGAGACAACGGGGTTGTGAGACGACGGGATGGAGTGCGGATGACGGAGGGAGATGCAGATGGCGACATTAGCTTGACTTGCGAGTGTGGGCAGAAAATTGGATCATTGGGATTTGAAATCTCGAATTTCATTTATAGTGGTCAGTGGGACTACGGCCGGCTCTTGATTATTCTTTGGTTTACGGGTCAATCCGAACCCTACATGATTTTTGAAACAGGACGATTTCTTAAATCCGAACTCATCCTATTTGACAAACGGGTTGAACCTAACCTTAAATTTTTGGGTTGGATTTGAATCAGGTTTTCGGGTCGTGTCAAATATTTTCACCCCTAATTGTTGGTGGCTCAATAGATGATTGAGTGGCTATTTGGATGATTGTAATTTTTTATAAAGGTGATTATAAAGTTGTTGTGAGGAAAATAATGTTTTTTATAGCTATTGTAAAAAATAGCTTCTTAATACAAATTTTTTTAAAAGCAATCAGAAAATATTAGCCAAATAGAATAATTGTTTTCATATGAAAAACAAAATAGTGAGAAAGTTATCCCAAACAGACCCTCAATCTTATAAAACTTAATTACTTAAATAAGAAAATTTAGTTCATTTTGTAAGAACTTATAACTTTATGTAGATTGATTAGTATATGATCTTATAAATTTAATTATTGTACAAAGTTCATAATCATGAAATATCTTAATGAATATCTATAATTCTTTTGAATTGTTTGTATTATTAGATATTGCATTGAAAGCTCTCCAGTAAGTATATTTCTACAACAATTTTAACCTCTACCAAGCTCTAAAGATTAGCAACAGTTATAATTGTAATTAAAGTTTTATTTGGAACAATTTTCTTACAGCTTATTAAAAATTTTTCTAAGTATAAAATTTTTTGTACTAAAAAATTGCTTTAGATAGCAGTATAAAACTGTCCCAATAAAAATATAAGACATATTTGGACTACAAACACTCACGTCTCCAATGAGTGAGATAATTTCTTTTTTGAAACAAGATTCTCCTTTTATTGCTTTTTCTCTTTTATATAGAAATTCGAGAATTAATATCTATATGCTATGATTTATATTTTGAGTTTAACTCTTAATTAAAAAAAATCATTAGTTCTATTTTTATACCGTTATTATTAAAATTTGAATCAATACTGGCGAGCACTGAAGTAGAAGAGAGAGAGAGAGAGAGAGAGAGAGATTGAAGCTAAAGGTGATCAAACAAAAGGATGAGTAGATATGTAGAAAACAAATATTAAAAGAAGAGGGATAAGTGTCGCATGCATGACTATGAGGTTTAGAAGAAAATTTAAAATAAAAAATGCGGAGAGAGAGAGAGAGAGAAAATTTAAAATAAAAAATGCGGAGAGAGAGAGAGAGAGAGAATGGACCAATCCTATTCTTAATGTAGTTTGCCTTATCTTCTTTCTCTTCTTTCTTTGCTCAAGATTTTGTTTTTTTAAGATATTTGAGCTATTAAGACAAATTCAGACATACATCACAATATCACATGCCAAGATGAGCTGCGTTTCCTTAAGCTTCTTGCAAAATCTACAAAAAATTGTTGTAAGATATTTCATAAGCATCTCCTTAGTCATTAATCTCTTTCAGATGATTGTGTAAGAAAAGCTCTCAAACATTTCTCTTTCAGATCATGTTCTTTCTTGTAGAACATGAAATTCTTCACCAAGTCCATTAATCAGTTGAACCGGTTTGACTGAAAATCCTAGAGTTGGTGTAACTGATCATCTACATCTAAAGCTCAATTTTGATTTGATCATTTTTTTTTTGAAGTTTGTAATCATTTTTAATATTTTTCTAATTATTTGAGTTTAATTTTATTAATACGCTTTATTGCAGCTTGTTATAAACTCGATTGTAAAATTATCGTGTTGAAAGTAAATTTAAGAGGATTTACATACATACTTACTATTCTATTTACATATCAACATTTAAAATTTTAATATTATGCAGTGGTATATATGTAAATCCCTCATAAATTTCTTGTTCTGATCGTAAAAAATACTTTTTATCATTTTTTTTTTAAATAGGAAGAAAATAATAGCAAAAAAATAAATAAATTATCCATATGAAAAACAAATCAGTTAAAAAACTATCCCAAATAGATAATTAATTTTTAATATTTCATATTATGTGCTTCACATTACTCTCTTTATATATATTTTTACAGCTATTCATGTTATCTTTAATTTAAGATCAGTTTAAAATTACAACGTACAGGAAGCACAGCGTACACGTCCTTACAGAACCCGGCCCACGGTCCGAGTCAGTCTTGGAATCCGGTCTGAGCCCAGACGGCGTTGCGGACCCGGCTCAGATCCCTTCCCTTCAGCGTCCGGCCGATCCCTTCCACAACAGAGAGAGACTCCGCACGCCGCCGCCACAACACCTCGTGTGGCGGCAGCACGGCTTCCACGTCGTCCTCTTCCTCAAACACTCGACTTTGTATTTTCGACCAGGTGGGTATGTTCACCGGGAGTGATCCGATGGCGTTTGGGCCGGCCGGATCAACAGACACGGTTTTCTTCCTGGTGGGCCACGGCCCGGCGGATTGTGGAGGGGAGAATGATGAGGCCCAGATGACGTCGGACTCGTCGAGCTCGTCGGAGGATGGTCCGGCGGATGCGGTGCTGCAGCCACCGGCGATCCCTTCCTTTCCTGATCTCGAGGAGAAGAGGTGGATGGTGTGCTTCAGAACCTTCTGGTTTCTTATCGCTGCCATGATAAGTTTCTTGTTCCTTGAATAGAGGGAGACGTGGGTGTTACCGTTTATAAAGAGGGGTGAACAGATCAAGAGGAAAGAGACAAAAGGGGTAGTAAGCCTGCCCCACTAAGATAGAGATATGGATGAACTTCTCTATCTCTTGACTCGCACAATATATAATAATTTTGATTGATTTTTTTTTTTTAAATTTAGGTTTACAAGTTTAGGAAGTAGAAAAAATCTCTTACATTTTGATTATGAGTAGTTGAGTTTTTGTTATGTAATAGAAGTAGAGTTGAATTTTGATTGATAAATTTCTTCTCCACAATTATTTAAGCTTTAAATTGCTAATTATATATAAAGAGTGTGGGATATAAATGTTTTCATTGAGAATCTAAAAAAGAGACCAACTAAATTAGCTCATGTTAAAATAGCTTTTGTTAGTAAATGATAAACTTTATAAATGATGCTTTTTCACCAAATTTGGAGAAGGGGCATCTTCTTTGAGGTCAAGGAATGATGTCTTTAAGGAGACAAATTGATGAGGTAGTGCGGAAAGGTTGTGGAAGTCATTGAAGATGCATGGACTTGTCCTTACAGAGGTAAGGAAATCATGGTAGACAATGAACTCGTGGAAGATATCGAGAATGGGTGGGTCTATTCCTTCCTATTGAGACAAGAGTTGACATCGTCAAAGATTGTAAGATATAAAAGAGTTTATCAGGACCTCTATCTTGTGGGTCAATCTTCCCAACCACTAACCTTTATCTTTCCTGTTGTTTTGTTTGTCCATCTCTAAAAGTGACACTACCAACATCACCCTCTATTTAAAGAAAATAAACAATCATGGAGGAAACTATAAACTAGAAGGCTCTAAAACACAACATCCACCTCTTCTCTTCTAGATTCAGTGGCCACAACACCGCCTCCACTGGAATATCTTCCAGTGCTCAATGATTTTGAGGTCATCTATGCTTTATTTTTTCCTCCATAGCTCACTAAGATGTGCCTCCTTGGATGAGCATCTCTAATGGGACGATTGGCTCAAGTGTAGTTGGATCACTCATAATATGCATAATTGACAAATCAAAATTATAAAAATAAATTCACGGAACCTAAGATGCGTGGGTTTAATAATCATTTTTTTATAATAACAAATTTATATAGACAATATGCTCATAAATGTGCAAAACGATCTTACATAAAAATTCTAGTTTTGGCATCACACTTAGCTCAAAATGATATAAAAATTAATGCTATACTTGAATAAATATAGTTATTGCTCCTCCTTAATATATGTATATAATATAACTAAGATATAACCATTACAAACTTCTTTGTTAAGATTAGCGACAAAGAAGTTAATTATAAATCTTATTATTAATATTAAAAGTTAGAGTTGGCGTTGATGGTGTCTTTAACATTATTGGTGATGACGAATGTCGAAGTTGTTGATGATAATGGTGATGAAGCTCACAAGAATCGACATTGATGTCAACGGTGTGCATGGATCTTATATGTGATGGTTGTCACGACCCAACCTGATCGGGACGGATCCCGCTTGCATCGGGTTGTGATGCTGGAACTTCAGACTGACTGAACTGATTCCAGGATCTGGCTTTGGAATTTGTTTCAGAACTTTCTTCCAAACATACAGACAGAAACAGACGCACAGAGCTACTATGAACATCAAATGCAGCGGAACAGATCATCTATCTTTTTTTCCTCAAAAGAATCATATACAAATACAGCTCATGGCTTTCAGACAGAAAGAAAACCAGAACAGAAAAGCCATGACTGTACAAAAATCAAAAGTACAAAATACCTATAACAGATCGGACTCTAAACTCCTACTCCAAGACTTCGTTCCCTTTCCCAGAACCTAAAAATCACGCAGAAAATAAGGATGAGCTACACAGCTCAGCAAGACATCAAACCTCCAATCAAAATCCTCAGAATCCACAACAAACACATCAGAAAAAATCCGAACAGAAATCAGATCAATAGAATCGTACCGAGCAAATCAGAACATAAATCATACAGATCATATCAAATCAGAACAGAACATAAATACATCACATCAGAGCTGACAGAACGTACAAAAATTAGAAATCAGATTAAATCAGAATAGAACAGATCAGATCAAATCAGAACAGAATCGTATCAGAATCAAATCAAATCAGACAAATATTTCAGAACAGATCTTCTTTCCAGATTTCAAAACTTCCTCTTATATCTCCCTTGTGCATACAACACCAGAACTTCCCCTTATATCTCCCTTGTGCATACAACACCAGAACTTCCCCTTATATCTCCCTTGTGCATACAGCACCAGAACTTCCCCTTATAGCTCCCAATTATGCTCATAGCACCAGAACAGAACAGATATACAGAATTTCAGAATTTCACAGAACTTCTCAGAACTTCCCCTTATAGCTCCCTTGTGCTTACAGCACCTTCCCCTTATGGCTCCCAATAGCATACGAATAACTAATTCAATTCAGAACAAATCCGGACAAATTCAGAAATTGTACGAAAATCCGGCGGCATAACGGCAGTATACAGAATTTACACAAAATTCACCAAATCAAAATTTTATCAAATTACCACAGAACATTCACAACAATATTATAAGACTTTTATTCTACTGCCCAGACAAATTCAGAAATTATCTGAAATTACAGTCGAAAGAAAACACCGTCGAGTCAAAACTACTGGGTCAAAATTCTCCAGAAAATAATCAAAACGTGCACACTCGGCACTTCAATAACATACCAAAAGTTACGCGGTAAAAACTGAACCAGTCGAAAAATACGGACAGAATTCACTAACGAAAATGAAACCCGGATAGAAAACTCGTTCAAACTTCACCGTTCTTAAAATTGAGAAAGGCGGAATGTGCCTTACCTTGCGTACACCAATTTCCTGAACTATCTTGACGGACGAAAACGGTCCAGCGTCGCCCAAAAATCAACTTTTCCTCTTTTGCCCTCGACTTTCTCTCTCCTCAAAATCAGATATTTTATTTTTTTGATTTTCTCTCTCTTTAAAATGAGCTGATTTCAGCTAAATAACCAACTGATCGGCCTGGCCGATCGCACGATCGTCATGGATGATCTAACCAAATTCACATCGTCCTGGGACGATTTCACAGGACGATATAGGACGATAATTAATTTTCAAAAACCCCTTGCTCTCTGTCTTGTGCCATGCTCTGATCGTCCCGAGACGATCCCAGATCGGCCTTGACGATACCTACAGGAAAATTTTCCTGTAACTTATGTACAGAATCTGGAACAAAATTTGAACTGATCGTCCCGGGACGATCCACGATCGGCCTGGACGATATGTTCAAAACTGCTTTTACAATGGTGCACATCAATTTTGTTGGCAATGATAGGTGATGAAGTCAATAAGCATTAGCGTTTGTGTCGATGAGATGGATCAATGTTATATACAATATTTTGAATTGATGTTATTGGTGATAATGGGCAATGAGTTGGAGGGAATCAACATTTATAATAATAGCTTGTATCAATCTTATAGGCGATGACATGCATCAACCTTCTTTGTGATGGTAGGTGATGGAGATGACGGACATTGATGTTTGTGACTACAATATGCATCAATCCTCCAAGAGACAACATTAGTGGGCTTTGGTGTTGGTGACGATGATATAAATCAATTATAGGTGATGACATGCGTCAATAATATTAATGATGTCGAGTGACAAAGTTGATCTTCATCGACCTTATAATCAATGACATGTACTAGTACTGTTGTTGGTAACGATGGGCGTTAATAGTTATGTGATGTTAGCTGGAGATTATAGTTAAGCGATGACCGTTAAGAGGCCATAATAGTACAGTAATAGTGTTCAAGTAACATAAGTGAAGCCACAACAATTAAGTGATGATGGATGGATAACAGTGATTAATTATAATTATTATTGTTGGCGTCACCATTTGTATTCATGGTGTGTATAGACATTATAGGTAATGACCTTAATTGATATTATCTATGATGGTGGGTAACAAATTTGGTGGGCATTATGTTGTTGGTTTACATCAATCTTATAAATGATGACGTGCAACAATTTTGATGAAGACGAGTGATAAGTCTGCAACATTGACATTATTGTTGACATTATGCCTTAACTTTATAGATCATGGTGTGTGTTGATATTGTCGATGACACTGTGCAATAAAATCAACAAGGGATGAAGCCATTTAGCGGTGAAGTCGACATACATATACTTTTATATCAATGGTGTCCATCAGCCTAATAAGTAAGGGCATGTGGTGATGATATTAAAAATGTTGATAAATGATAGTTAGGAAAGGGTATAGTTTGGTGATGATGTTAAGGAGATTGCTTTCAAGTTATGGTGTTAAGGTGATTCTAGTTGAATGATGGTGGTTAGGAGATCATAATTAAGCAATAGTGGTTGGAGATTATGGTCAGATTGTAACAACCGAACACTTACCTATTGAGATATTATCCGCTTTGGCCTAAGGGCCTCATAATTTTGTCATGTTAGTATAACTTCTTACCCATTCTAAAATTTTTACGAGATGAACATGCTTAACTGCAGAGTTTTTTAAATAAAATTTCAACCATTCAACAAAAGGCACCTCAATGTTTAAGACTTTAACTTCTTTTACTTAAGGTGTTTTACAATCTCCCCCACTTAAGTAACTGTCATCCTCGTAAATATCCCTATCCCAAAATCATCCACAATGCATATATGATTCTAGAGGTGACCACTACAAGTTCAAGTGGTAACTACCGTAACGTAGCACTTTATCCTATACTGGGTTAAAGTGGTGGCTCCCATGAAATAGAACTTTGTCATATATGGTACTTAATTCTCATCTTAATGCTAGTGTATTACTCTGATGTCATTTGTAATAGCCTAAACTCTTAACAATCGAGATATTATCCATTTTAGCTTAAAGCCTCATGATTTTGTCATGTTGGTGTAACTTCAGAGGAGGTCATCCATACCAAGATTTTTTCGGGATTAGCATGCTTAA